GAATTACTGTTCAACCTAGAAATATGACAATATCTTCCACATCTATTGATAAAAAAATATTTTCGAGATTATCGTTGTGAATTAGGCATTGTCGTCTTTACATTGATGATCACTTGAAATTATCCTCACAGTTGCTTTAATAATATTATCCAGTTGACTGATTATTAATTGATTACTTGATTATCAAGAATTTGAGAAAGTATAAACATGCATCATGGGAATTCAAGCGTAGAAAATCTAGAGCTTAAAGCAATATTTTTATTTTTTCATTCAAATAAAGATTATTTTCAGTTTGTCTGTCTGTCTGTTTACTTTTTTGATCATAACTCAGGCACCCCTTGACCGATTTGCCTTAAATTTAGACTGGGTAACTCGATTGGGCCACGGGAATGTTCATAGTTTGGTTTGAAAAATTATTTAGATCTCTGAGCAAAGCTGGGTTCCCAAACTAGTACTTAATAATACATATTAATATTATGATTGTTATCTTTTTTTCATGGATATTTTGCACAGCTGACCAAAAATCTGTTGGCCAACTTTACAAACTACTAGTAGTTATATTAGTACATATTATTATTATAATTGTTGTTATCTTTTTTTCATGGATATTTTGTTCAGTTCGCCAAAAATCTCCAAAAATCTTTTGGCGAACTTTACAAAAAATTTACCAAAATAAATTTTTATGGAGTAACATTTTGATCATGTACCTTGTTTAATTCTTATTGTCCATGTCCATCACGCTTATTACAAAAAAGATTTAGCCTAATTTTAGTTCGGTCGGTTTTTTTTAAAATGATCAATGCAACATCTTTATATCTATATGAAGAATGCAAAGAAATAAAAATAAGTTTTATTTAACCAGCGGATTTTTCAAGAAAGAGATATATCTAGGCTTGGAAATAAAACTCATCTCAGAAAGTGGTTTTAACCGTTCTCTTTTTAGAATTTAAACGGGTCATCAATTTTCAGATTTAATGCAATTTTTTTCAGGGGTCGACCTTTTACTTATATAATGTTCCTTTTCATGTGGATGAATTAAACTTTTTGCTGTTTTTATCGCTGCTTAATTTGACGGCCCAAACTTTAAATGTGGCTGAATTTTAAGATTCAAATGTAGTCATTTTTTAAATGGTTTCTTCTTTCACGTCTGCATAGTACAGGGTTACCTGCACAAAGGATGAGTTTGTAAAAAGGAATTGAAACTCTTAAAATATGACGATTTCAAAATAAATGTATGTCTTCTTTTTTTATTATTTTCTTTAATTGGTTTATTTAATGATTCGGTAGAAACAGAAACCAGTTTACAGTTGCAGTGAACCATAAATATAAGAAAGCAGACAGAATAAATTTCATACAATCGTCTCTGAAGTCTGAACCATTGCGGGTCTAACTCTTCATCTGAATTATAGAATGTTTAGATGTTGCGGAGATAAATACCCCGGCTACTGTTCGTGAGAAGTAATATTTGAATTGAAGAAGTTTCAACACTTGTAAACTTATAGAAACTATTCTTTCCTCCAAGATTTCTTCTTCATCAATGTTTAATATCCCCCACTGTCTTAGTTCAGGGTGTACATAAAAAAACGTGGAATCTTTTTCCCCAACCTTTCCTAACCTCATTTACCATTATTGTTTTTCCCTCATTTACTACATGATTAGATTAGTTTTTTCTTTAAAGGGACTGTAAAGGAAAAATGAAGGGGGGTATAGGATGAAATCCGAGAATCTCAGGCGTTGAACTATACATATTAGACATCTATCTGATGTTTTTGTCTCGAGAAATTGACATAAAACTTTAACAAAATTATACAAAAACGTATATATAGGTAAGATATACGTCCGTACCACGTGACCAGAACTCCCTCCGATGGCAGTGCAGTATACTGGTCACGTGATACAGATGGAGATACGTGACAATAATACTGCCCTGCCGTTGGTTGGAGTTCTGGTGACATGTTCCAAACGGATAAATAATATTATCAATTATATCTATAAAAAAAAATAAAAATTATTAAAATTCAAATAGTGATAGAAGCAAACTTTAGTTTCTCAGGCTCTTCTGGGATATTGTTGTTTTCAGATTAGTTGTCTAATTGTTGAATATGATCTGTTTAATACTACAAATCTTATACAAAATTCTACATATATACGTTTTGGTATAATTTTAACACAGTTTTGTGTAAATTTCTCGAGACAGGAACATCAGATAGATGTCTTATATGTATCGTTCAACGCCTGAGATTCTCAGGTTTCAGCCTATACCCCCTTTCATATTTCCTTTACAGTCC